AGAGAAATGCCAAGAAATTTTATTGTTTGTCACTATACCTGGTGATAGAATTTCTTGACATTTTATCCCTCTAGAAAAATCCAACATTGTTAATAAACCACAGTACAAAGTGAAGATCCTAATTTCAGCATCTCATAACAGAAGCTGCAAAACAGAAAACATACAAAACCTTAAGGCAAGGAGCTAAAAAGAAATTTATTCTAAGAATTATCTGTAAGAATAAAAGGTTCTTGTTGACAGCAGAATAATTACAAAATCGTGGGTTGTCACTGTCATGTTTCACATTGCAAAACCAAAAATATGTCCATATTCTGAGCAATAGCCGACACAATATTGTTTATAAACCTTTAAAATGGCCCTGTGATCTGTGATTATAGGCTGCTGCTCTGAAAATGCTTGATGAAATCTAACACAGATTTTTAAAAAATAAGGCATCTATAATATAAAAATAAACCATAAATATTAATTAAAATTGAATTTTAAAAAATTTAATTTAAGTAAAAAAAAAAATATCCTGTCCTCAACCCAACAGAGGGTTTCTCTGTACTGCTTTGTGTGTGGGTGGTTTCTTTTTACCTCTATTTTATGCCTGCCTCACCTCCATTAGAATACCATTTACCTATCATCAATAACAAGGAAGCTGCATCGCGGCCCATGCCACATTCAGACAGGCTCCCTGGGGCAGCAGTGCCCAGAAAGCACCCCTCACAGGGGAGGTGCTGCCCTGCCCCACCAGGTGAGGGCTGTGTGACCCTGCTCCCCGACCTGCACCGCAGCACAGCACACATTTCTTCAGAAACATCACTTTAAAAATTCATGTGCAGAAAAAAACATATCCTCAGTCATCAAAAATCCCTGAGTCCTCTTTGTATAAGAAATCAGAACTTCTGAACAAGCAAATCAAAAACAGAGAAGCAGAATCAAGACAAGCCCAGACGCCATTCACACCAGCATGGTGACTGGAGTTCTTCCTCTTTCCCTATGCATATATTTTCAATTACTGCAAACAAATGCTTGCTTCAGCAGCACAGACACTAAAATGTGGACAAGACCGTGTTCTGCAGGAGCATCCTGACTCCCTGGGAAAGGGGGACTGTCCCACTGAGTGGTCCAAACAGACATATCCAACGCCCGTCTGCAAAAGCAGCAGACTGGACTAGGCAAACCTTTAGCCCCTCTGCCGAGCTACATGGCTATCTGATCGACTATAAGATTCTGATCAGAAAGCATTCCAAACAGCTGACGTACCAACCCTGACAACCCATAAACATGAAAACAGAAGCCTGAAAATGCTCACAATCAGGCAAGTCAAGTACACAGATGGACTAGAATAAATTAGACTGATAAAAATCTATGTTATCAGATAAAAGGGAATTGAAACTTACCAAGTATATTTTAATGAAAAAAAAACAATTCTAGGAAATCATGCCATGGTCATTTTATTACTTTTTCCAACAGAAGCCACATGTCCTCTGACAATTTACTGCAGTCATAGGCCTTTTAAAAATCACCCAGAAAATACTTGTTGCATTCTGGTGTTTCCAAACAGAATTTAATCATATGCTGCATATTTCATCAATAATGTGAAGAGACATAGAACATGACTTACAGAAGTTCCTCTTCTTTATCATGCCTACATGAAAAGTAGGCATTTTAAAGTGTCACTTGAAAAGAGGAAGAGTCAGCATAAATGTCAAGAATTTCATCTCAAATAAATTAACAATATCACATACACTGAACACAAACAGTCCTCTCAGTTTTGCCAAAATTATTGCTTTTTTTTAATGGCTAAGCTACCCATTTAAACCAGAGGCACACAGTGTTCGAGGAGGCAACAGTACAGCAGGTTTACTTCTCGGGCCACCAGCCGGCACCTGTCAGTATGCACACATCAAATGGGTTCCCAGAAAGCCAGTAGGCTCCTTGTGGTTAAAGCAAACTACTGAACAAGATGAAAAACACAACATGTAGTGCTGAAAAGAAACTTCTAACACTAAAAGCAAAAGCCAAAGTTGTCAGTCACTAAGCACCAGCAAAGAAAACATCTTGAGAAAAAGATCATTTCAACAAGTGTTTATTGAGTATCTGCTCGGTATCTGGAGCCTTAGGTCCCCTGCCCTTCAAGAGCTCACAGGCTGTCGGGAAGCCCAACGGGGACCAGATCACAGTACAGTGAGGTCAGCGCTCCAGGATACAAGCAACTTTAAATCCAGGTTCAGAATGATGACTGAGAGAACCCAATCTTTTCTTTTCTAGAAATCCTAGGTGTGGTGGCAGACTGTCTGGTGGAGGATGCATCCACAGAGGCCACTGGAAGGTCGTGGTCACATCAGTACTTTCGCAATGACTCCCCTGCAATTAATCAGGCATGCCACAAACCCACATTTCTTGAAAAAAACATCATTAATAAATATTTAGAAATTAAATAGCTATGTTTGACCTTATGATGATAGGATTTCTAGATGTAACAAGAAAAGTAGAAACTGTTACACTTCATTTACTCAGCTACCACAAATATTTGGAAAACATTTAAGACTTGCAAGGTAGTAAAATAGTGCATTAAGTAGGCAAAATAAATGTCATCATCTGCTCCCTAAAGGAACATGAACTACACTAACATATTGGAGAGCCTGAAACTCACTCAAAATCTATATACTTTTATTTTAGAGATGATTCTAATAAGCCAACCAGAAAGCAAAGGAACAATGGTCAGAAAGGTACCAGCCACATGTGAGTAACAGGTCACAATGACAGGAGTGGGGAGAGTGAGAGGAACATGAAGGAAACGAGAGCATAAATTTCTGTCTGAGGCCTTCGAGCAGCGCTGCTGTCAGAGCAGAACTTAGGCAGAACCGCGGTCCGCTCTGCCTGTCCCTTTCCTGACTAGCTACGAGTTGCAGGCACATACCTGCAGTACTATTAGGCTGGCTGATGGGATTTGTAACAACTCTTCTTCTCTACAGGACAGAACATTAGTGGAGGGGGTGGGAATGTGTTTAGAGAAAAGGAGGTATTGTTTCCATTTCAGTGTTCTTGACTCTTAAAAGCTGTTCTGTGTTTTGTTTTGTTAACTACAAATGCTTAAAGCCCTTTAACATACCATTCTGGGAGGATAAGCATTTTGAAAAACATGAAATAATGCCGTTACACTAATAAGTGTAATTAAAATGCTGTTCAGAGCCGTGGCGCAGGAATTTTATATCTCAAGGTAGGTAACATGTGATAGCAGGGTCACTCCTGTGGAGAAGGATAGCGTAATGAACAAAATTCCTATGTCTGTGTATAGGAGGTGCTTTTTATGTCTGTGCTGGCAGATTCCTTGGGCACAGAGCCCACATCCGACAGGCATTATATCCTGATATTTTTACCCTCTCTTTTCTTTTGGCTATAGCACAAACATTTTCAGTGCTTTCTAAATGGCATGAATATTTTCAAGGTTTTTCACAGGCAACAAGAAGAAAATTAATTTCCAGGTATCCCCATTTTGTTTCCTACGTCCTCGCACTGACATGTGGTCTAGAACAGGAGCTCTGTTAGACTCTGTTGGCAACCTCCCTCCCTACTGCTGCCTCCATTTGTGGGGAACAATTATTGCAAACAGTGTAGTTCATTACGTCAGGCTCTTCAGAATAAGCAAATAAAAAAAAAAGCTTCCAAAATAGGAATGAAAATGTGAGCTTGGCGTCCTATACTCCACAAAACTGTAATGCTCGTGGATCAAACTTGGAAAAGATGCATTTTAAACAGAAGCCAATATTACCCTTTACAGTAACAGGAATTACAGTAAATACTAATTTTTCAGGAAAAGCTAGCCTCAGGAGGATTTTCATTTCTCTCAATATTTCTAGCTCAATACCATTAAAACACTCAAAAAGTAACTTGGGAGGTTTTATTCCCACCAAGTTGCAACCACAGTGTTTTCAATGGCTTTCAGGGAGGCAATTTCACACAAAAGAATCCATTCTATGTAACACGGATGATTACATATATATATGACAGTTCTATGGCTATTTGATCCTGTAACAGATATATTTTTCTCCTTGAGTAATATCTATATGGCCCTAAACTCCTGGCTAAAGCCAGAACTGTAACTTCAATAACTAAATAGAAATAAAGGGTCATTACAGATAAACAAAATGTGGTATATCCATGTAATGGAATACTACTTGGCAACAAAGAGGAATGGAGTACTGATTCACGCACAACATCAGAAGGCCTGGAGAAAAGCTGAGTCACAGAAGCTGGTCACAAGAGGTTAAGTGGTATATGAGCCCATTTATGTGAAGCATCCAGAATGGGCAAGTCCACGGATACAAAAAGGAGATCAGCATTTGCCAGGGGCTGGGAGAAGGAGGGAATGGGGTTGGGGGGGGGGTTGGTAACTGCTCATGGGAACGGGGTTTCTTTTTAGGGTGATGAAAATGCCCTAAAATCAGATAGTGGTGAACACTGTGCAACTTTGTGACTATGCTAAAAACCACTGAACTGTACATTTTAAAGGGGTGAATTTTATGGTATATGAATCATATTTTAATAAAACTTAATTTTTAAAAGACTCAATAGTTGAATAATGATGAGCCATGTAAAGGTGTTGTCAGTATAAAAGGAATAATTTCCAACCATGTTCACCGGCACTTTGGAATTTATCAGTGAGCTCATCTTTATATCCTGGGACCTATTAAGCCTGTTTCTCTTTCACTTTCAGAAAGTCTCCTCTTAAAGAGAAAGAGGGAGAAACTCCTGAGAGGAGATAATTCACAGAGTGCTGTTCTTTGTTAACAAAGTATATTCTGTGTCAATCTGTCTAATGTAACTTATTGAGTGAACAGGAATTTCCAAGGAAATCTTGAGTCAGCCAAATATTTGGCAGTTACAAAAGAATTTGAAGGTAGTTAATTCACAATCAACTACAATATCAAAATCTACATATACCTACTGCTTTGTGATTAGTGGCAATCAATGATCAATGAAAACAGATAATGTGAAATACAAATACTGACCTTGTTTCCTTCAACCCTTCCTTCTGGATGACTTCCAGTATCTGCTTTGCTGTCATTGGTGAGTTGGGGTGTTTTTCTAGTGCCTAGAAAATAAAAAGAAACATAAGATCCCTAGATTATTGCATGGGAGCATACAAGATCATGCCATGTTTCCATAAAATGTTAAAGGGAAAGGGGCTGCCGTTATGTGAAAATGAGACCACATCACACAGTTCAGGTGTCCAAAGTGAGACTGTAATTTTTTTTCTGGACATTTATGGTAATTTCTGCAACATATAGGGGCCACTCTTTAAAAAATATAACAAAGGCATACACACCAAAAAAAAAGAAATGTGAAACCTAAAGAAAGCTAATAAACATAAATAGCTTCATTATTAAAAACAACTAATATTTAATAGTTAAAGACATGCTTTCAGGATTTTTAAATGTTTCCTAAATTTCTATGTAACATGGAACCTGAATACTCCCAGAAGCAAAGAACAAAATGCTCTGCAGAAATAACCTCACTGGATTCATATTTTGATCAACCTCTTTTATATTAAAAAAAAAGAGGAAAATATCCTGGCCAAAATGGAAAAGCGTGTACAGAAACCCAAGTAACCCATCACCATGTGTTTTCCAGCTCAGCTCAGGCTGCACTGTTTCTCCAATTAATTTCAAGTGAACCCCTTTCTCTTCCATTCAGCAGACCTCTACAAAGTGAGTCCCATTTTTCTCTCTCTCCCCTTCATCATACTTATTTTTGAGTGGAAGGGAGCTTTTCCAAACAAAGTGTAGGGAATGCGTGGGGCATAGTTAATTTTCTTTTCACAAGTGTCAAACCTCAGCCCTGAAAATCAAGTTCCTTTATTTACCCAGGGACTTAACTACACGTAGTGGAAGCAGGGAACACCAGTGCCCACACTGATCACCGTGCACTCCAGGGACCCGCTCTGGGTGCCAGAAACAAGTCTACACACATCTTCACGAAGCCTCCCTGCAAGGGCAGACAGCAAAGATGCTGTATAGGGACTTCTGTCCAAGTCGTGGTCCCAGGCAAGTCAGAAATTCTAGAGTTGCAATTTATAATTATTCACTAGAATGACCATACTAAGAGTGAACAGGGTCACTTTAAAAACTAAAAACTGAAAAGGCTTCCATATCTGTTCAAAATGGCTCTATGAGCTCTCCCACTGTCAGTGGCCACATTTCAACCAGGTCACTAACAAAGGTTCTGTTCACCAAGTCCTCCAGTGACGAACATAAAGTCCGTCCCACCTCGCTATTAGGGCCCCTTTCCTGTTCTTCCCTTTCTAATTCCCAGAAAACTTCCCCATTTTCCCAGTCTGGATCAGTCCTTACTCATAGCTGGTATGTTCTTTCAAGAAGATAGAACTCTGAGCTGCACTAGAAAGAGGGCATGGTAATAGGCAAGAAGGAAAACCCCCAGAGGAAGTCCTGGTGAGCTGAGCTGGGCTGGGCAGTGGGGAGAGGGCTGAGGTGCAGAAATACTGGTTTAAAAAGGCAAGAAGGAAACTGCATAATAGAGATGAAGAGGGGAAAAGATTAGATCATAAATAAAGGCAGGAAAGAAATAGACATGAAAACAAAAAAGCAGACAGTTTGACAGTGAGAAGAGCTCTCAGCAGAACTGTGTGCTCATGAATCACAGAGCGGAGATGCAGGGTCCCACGGACTCTGTACAGGTGGGTGCCACCCCTGGGACAGGCAGTGCCCGGGACAATAACGGTCTCTCATAGAAGTCAGGGACAGGCAGAGGGCCTCAGACAGACACACATGTAAGCGAGGAAAGACGAGGGAAACAGTTGGGGAGGGGCACAGATCAGCAGAAAGAGCAGGGGCAGGAGGAAGGACAGAGAAGGGGATTTGAGCTGAACTGGTCATGCCCAAAAGGCAAATAGGGCTGAAGGAAACTCCAGGTCAAAGGTTCTATTCACCAAGTCCTCCAGTAACTTAAATAAAGTCTGCCCCACCTCACTATTAGGTGCGCAATGCCTTATTGGAAACTTGGGGTGACTCACTGCAAGGGGTCCCTGTTTCTCTTCATGAGTGCAAGCCCTCTGCACTCAAGGGCAGCTCCTCCCAGCCACGGAGGGGAGTGGGTGGCCCTGTCCCCTTCTCTGTGACATCGCATCCTACTCTACACACGGGCAGTAAGAGTGCCAGCAATTACATCACGAGGAGCGCGACACAGGAGGGAGCAGACGGAACCACCCTCTGTTCCTGCAGGACGCAGAAGGGGACAGAGGAGGAGAGGCTCTTGGGCGTGCACAAGCTTCCTTGAACCAGCTGTGTGAGCACTGGAAGGAAAAAAGACAGAAATTGCCTGCACGAACACAACACTGATGCCATCAAATAACATGACACAAGGCAAGACATGAATCAGCTGGCAGGCGGCCACCCTCAGACACCGGTGGGGAGAAGCCCGTCAGCGTGAAGTGGCATCTAACTGCCAGCCCAGACACCCGGTGAGAACTGCCCACCATCCAGCAGCAGGGCTGTGCGGTGTGACAGCTCCACATAGCCTGCCTTGTACTTTCTGGCTCGACATTTTCAGACACAACTAGTATTTGGAAATGTTTTCGTGCTTATGTAAACTTACTTTGAAGTTAACACATTCCTCCAATTGCCTTCCACCTGTAACCACCTCTTTAGAAACAGGTCAAGGACACAAGACAGCAGAGAAGGGACTAGGAGTATACACAATTTCAATACTATTTATCATAAGGCTTTCCTAGAAATAGGACCACTAAATCAGAACTTGGGGTGACTCACTGCAAGGGGTCCCTGTTTCTCTTCATGAGTGCAAGCCCTCTGCACTCAAGGGCAGCTCCTCCCAGCCACGGAGGGGAGTGGGTGGCCCTGTCCCCTTCTCTGTGACATCGCATCCTACTCTACACACGGGCAGTAAGAGTGCCAGCAATTACATCACGAGGAGCGCGACACAGGAGGGAGCAGACGGAACCACCCTCTGTTCCTGCAGGACGCAGAAGGGGACAGAGGAGGAGAGGCTCTTGGGCGTGCACAAGCTTCCTTGAACCAGCTGTGTGAGCACTGGAAGGAAAAAAGACAGAAATTGCCTGCACGAACACAACACTGATGCCATCAAATAACATGACACAAGGCAAGACATGAATCAGCTGGCAGGCGGCCACCCTCAGACACCGGTGGGGAGAAGCCCGTCAGCGTGAAGTGGCATCTAACTGCCAGCCCAGACACCCGGTGAGAACTGCCCACCACCCAGCAGCAGGGCTGTGCGGTGTGACAGCTCCACATAGCCTGCCTTGTACTTTCTGGCTCGACATTTTCAGACACAACTAGTATTTGGAAATGTTTTCGTGCTTATGTAAACTTACTTTGAAGTTAACACATTCCTCCAATTGCCTTCCACCTGTAACCACCTCTTTAGAAACAGGTCAAGGACACAAGACAGCAGAGAAGGGACTAGGAGTATACACAATTTCAATACTATTTATCATAAGGCTTTCCTAGAAATAGGACCACTAAATCAGATAATCAAAACAATAATGCAGTGAAGTGTTAATTATGGCTTGGGCAATAATGATGTAATTGTGACAGAACAGGAAATCCAATTTTAAAGTTTGCCATGGATAATAATTACTTAAAATCATCCTGCTTTCTGAGAGTAAAAATTGGAAAAATATGCAAACTCATACCTATAGAAAACAAACATGCCCACAAGCCTACAACCAACAATATTAATCACTACTATTTACATTTTCCTTTTAGTTTTTCTATTTGTACATATTATTTTTAATGTAATTATATAAGGTACCTGTATATACTGCGAGCTCTCTTTTCTCCATGTAATGTGAATTCTGATTAACATTTTAATAAGAATTAAATAAATCATTATTAACACTTCACTGCAGAGAGGCATTTACATTGTTTTAAAAATTCAATTAATAAAAATGAATTTCCAAGGAATGTATTAAATGCAGCATTGTTAGAGTATTACTGAATCCAAGTGAGCTCTGACAGGTCCTTTTATATCCTGCCAATGGTTTCCAGAAAGATTTTAACAATTTACACTCTCTCCAATCAGAACTAGGACTGCCTCTTACCATGACTTTGCCAGTATTAAGCATTATCTTTTTAGTAATATTTGCCAACTTACTGGGTCCAATAAGTGGAAATTCATTGTTATTGTAATTATATTTCTGTAAATACTAGTGAGGATAAAGACTTTTTTCAAATGTCATATGGGATATCATATGGGATATAACAGGGTATTTCTGTTTTTCTTATTAATGTATAAAACGCTCTTTATTTAGTGAGAATGATATTCATTGTTTTGCATACTAATAATAAATATTTATTCCCTTTGATGTTTACCTATTGGATATTTTAGGGGGGATGTATGCAAAGTTTTCTATTTTCATATGAACAACTCCATCAGAATCTTCCCATTGTCATCTACTGCTCTTTTTAGAAGTTGTTTTTATCCAAAGAGTGTGAAAATATCTACAAATATTCCTTTTAAATACTTTTTTGTTCTTTCAAAATCCATCTGGAATTTGTCTTTCGGAAGCAAGGTAAAGCCATACGAAATTTCCACCTCCTATTAGTCATGATTCCCCACCATGATTTGTTTCATAGGCCAGTCATGGTCAGTAAGGCTTCCTCTGCCACATATAGTGTTCCAGGAATGAAAACCCCTTTGGGTGTGCAACCAACATACAGGTGTGGGAGCCCAATCTCTAAGTGCATGCGAGCAGAGCTGTTCTTGGAGAGGAGATGAGCAAGCTTGGCACCCCCACACTCCCACCAGAGGCTGACACCACAACTTGGAATTTTCAGGTTCTCTGAAATTAACTGTCAACCACTGTTCTTGGGGCTTACCCAGGGGTCCTACTCTGTCCCCCTGATCTTCCAGCTGCTGTGCCAGCATCATGTTGGTTTAAATTGCTTGTGATATTATAACACGCTGAGGAGCTGGGTAGGACACTGCTCTCGTTATTTCTTCTTGAATTTTTAATTGTTCACTTCTTTATATTTCCAGATGAAATTTAGACTGGAATTAAAATCTCTAATTAGATTTTTAAGAAAGTTACATACATTG